AAGCAGACAGACGAACGAACCCATTTTAATAGACAATAAATGAATGAATGGAATTTGTACTGACTGTTAACTTAAGCTGTAATACAAATAATTTAAATATATATTATCAAGTCTTCCTGTGGTTAACAGGTTGAGGTTAGGTTTTTATCAACCAGTTAAAGCGGAAACTGCAAATTTTTAAGTTATATTTTTAAAATTTATTAAAATAAAGCCTGAAAATAGATGGTATCCATAAACAGTCCTACCTATAATTCACTATTGCCAGCTGAGAAATTGGCAAAAATATCATTTTCCTCTTCATTTTCAAACGTTTGAAAAAGCTACCCCATGGTGGAGAATAGAAAACAAGGGAGGTAATTGTGTTATTATTTCCTGTGTAAATGTGTTTTAAGTGTGAGAATGACACCTATGATCGTATAATTGTGAGTTGACAACCTATTGAGCAAAAGACATAGAAATAATTACTTTTTGACTTTCTTAGAAAATTTGAAATTCTCACTTTAACCGGTTCAATGCTTTTTAAACCATTACATCCTTAGTTTCTGCGGTTTGATTATTTAAAGTTTCAGAACCCATCTATATTAATTTAGTCTGAAATACTGCCAGATTTCTTTTGTTTTTCCCCAGAGGTAACTTTTTCTTTGTGTTAACATTGTAGGTAATACATGTAAATAATAAAAGTACTATTCAATCAAGTAAATGGATCATGGAACCGGCCTCACACATAATAGTTATACCCTCAGTGCAGTTAATATTTACTTTTAATTTTGAATATAATTCACCATATTTTGATGTACGATTGGGCATATTCTCGGTCAGATGTTTGCCAATCCATGTAGGACATGATCGGCATATGCTGCCACAACCAGGATTCTTAATCCATTTTGAAACAAACCGGCCAGAATTGGGTCAAATGAGGTCCCGGTAGGAAATGGGTTAATTATAAGCTTCCATTCCCTTTAATATAACCAGACTTTACAAAAATAATTCTTGGTAATGTGTTATGGAGAATGTCCTATTTTAATGTATGTGATTACCACAAAAATGACAATTAGGTACACCCTTTGAAAATTTTACACATTTAGTTCACATACCAGCTTTATGTTTAGGGCAGTAATATTCCTGAATAAATTACTATCTTAGTTTATTCGATGAAACGTTCATGCTTCATCAGTCGATGATCTAAAATATTAGCATTTTTCCACTACTGCCAGTACCAAAAAATGCTGTAACCAAAATAAACTGATACGGCAACATGGCATTTCTTCATAAGACTATTTGTAGTTTTTTTGTCCATCATGTAACAGTCACTTAACTTGCAAAAGTTTTTATTCATTCGTCGATGATAGACAAACAACACAATTGTCACGTTGACTACCGTAATTGAAATTGCTTTAAAATAAAATTCTGTACGATTATGATATAGCCTTCATATGATTCTTATAATTAAGCCTTTTTCAGAATGTGTATAGAATTAAAAAAATCATAACAGTAAACGCTATTTAAAACTGGTTTTGTCATGTCATGTGTCATTTGAGTTTGGCATTGGAGATTCTATCGGGAAAATATATTATTAATGACTTGTTTCTCGGTGTATTCGGTGTTCTATAAGGGGATTATATTCAATTTAAGACATAATTTTACATAACAACTGGTCAGTGAATTCATCAATGTATGATGCAGTTATTATTTTAATATCTACCGGTACCTGGAATTCACACAGAGCGTGAAAGACGCTCGATTGGCAAACCATGACGAGATCGTCTTCTTTCACGTGGGCTATTTTTTTTTACAAAAGCAGCTTACTGATCCTGTTCTGTTATGAATAATCAGCAAGCTTGTTTTATTAAAATTACATTAAATGTAATGTGCTAATTAGGCTACTCAGATTATGAACCACATGGCCGATTCTCACCAAGGTATGACTTTTGTTGTAGCTGACAAGCAAGTTGATTGACTTTTAATTAACATGTAATAATTAAAGGCTCAACACCACTCTTGTTGTAACTGAATAATATGTCCCAATCTTTATTCTGGTCAACAAATTGCACTATTTTACAATATTCCAATTACTTGATAATACAAATTTCATCTTAACATACCTAATTTAAAAAATTGGAAAAATTCAAATAAATGATTTGAAAAGCCCGACGTAAAGCTTTTCAAATGTGACATGGATTTAAAAATAGGATAATTTACACAACAGGTAGGACACTAACACATCTAGTACTTAGAATAAGGCTATTTTTTATTTTATTGGAGCTGTCAAGCCAGCAAGAGTGTTATTGTCCCTTTAACAGTGATGGGATTTCAAAAATTTTCTTGTCAGACATTTTACCGAAAATAAAGGGAGGCAATTAAAAAGCATGTGTCAACAAAATATTCAAATCCTGTCCGTAATAAAAAATAGGTGAACCTCACTATTTTTCTTATTTAATTCCCGTACAGTATTCAAATTTATGTCTGTAAACGTTCCTACAAAATTACGCATTTTCGTAATACATTGAATGAAAGCTTGCCGATCCTGCTTCGACATCAAATTCAAACAGTAATATTCCTTCAAAATTATGTATCTTTGTTTATACGGCAGCAAATGAATGCAAAACTTCCAAAATAAGAATAGTTTGTGATGTCAGAACATCGTTTTCTTCTTTATAAAATGTCAACAAAATATTCAAATCAGCGCATAACAAGATGACTAGACATCAACATCCCGCGCCCTTGCACTTGTTTGGAAGAAATAAGGAAAAATAACTTGTTTATGCTATTGGTAATCAATATAAAAATGTATCAGATTTCGCAAACAGTGTCACTGGTCATAATATTGTGGCCCTGTTTAGTAGATATTGCTCCCTATTTCTGAAAACTAATGACTGATTGCTATTTACTAGAAGATTTGAGATAATTTATGACATTAAGCTCTGGTTTTAAAAATTAGACATGACTACATAGAAAATAGAGATATTTTGCAAGTGGAGGGAACTGGAGCTTTAGACAAATCTCATATTCCGACAAATGGAATATCAATTCACAGAATTTCATACTCTGATCACAGTAGCTCGGCAAGGCAGGGTCGCTACTCCCTGTAAGGTATGCACAACAACCTTTGCCTACCTCAATTAGCTGCTGTATGTTAAACAATAAACTTATACATCAGAAAATAAAATACTATAATAGGTTAATGTTTGTACAAAATTTCAAAAAGATTTCTTGAACAGATAATAAAATATGCTCCAGAAACAAAATCAGGATGGAAGGCTGGATTTCAGAAAATAAAATAATGGGTAAAATTATTTTAAAGGTATCTTGAACAGTCAAATGTGTTTCCATGGAAACACATAAAATTATCAAATCTGAGAAATTCAAAATAAGTGCCATGAAGATATCTTGAACGATTTATGAGATATGCTCCAGAAACAAAATTGTACACCAAAAACTAAGTAAAATTTGTTTCCATGGAAACACAAAAAATATAAATCTCAGAAATTCCTAAATGGCAAAAGGCACAACTACTGTAATAGGTTGATGTGTGTGCAAAGTTTCAGAAAGATATCTTGAACGGTTTATGAGATATGCTCCGGAAACAAAATTATACACTAAAAACTAAGTCAAATTTGTTTCCATGGAAACACAAAAAATATAAATCCCAGAAATTCCTAAATAGCAAAAGGCACAACTACTGTAATAGGTTGATGTGTGTGCAAAGTTTCAGAAAGATATCTTGAACGGTTTATGAGATATGCTTCGGAAACAAAATTGTACACCAAAAAAACTAAGTCATTTTTGTTTCCAAGGAAACACAAAAAAATATAAATCCCAGAAATTCCTAAATAGCAAAAGGCACAACTACTGTAATAGGTTGATATGTGTGCAAAGTTCCCTAAAGATATCTTGAACGGTTTATGAGATATGCTCCAGAAACGAAAACGGACGGACGAATGGACAGACGAACGGACGGACAACCCCATTTCAATATCCCTCCCTAACTTCGTTCGGCGCAGGATTATAAAAATAGGAATACCTCACTATTTTTCATATTTAATTCCCTTTTGGTATTCAAATCTATGTCAGTAATATTCCTACAAAATTACGGGTTTTTGTAATACGATAGAGTGAAAGCTTGCTGATCTGTACCTGCTTCAAGCTCATGCCAGTAATATTTCTCCAAAATTACATGTCTTGGTTTATACGGCAGCAAATGAAATAAAGGAGTTCGAAATAAAAATTCTTGTGGTGTTATCAAAACACCATTTTCTTCTTCACAATTACATTGATAGTTAAATCACTTGTAAAAAGTCATAGTTAACTTCAGCATATGGCGTACATAACTCATAGCACATAGCTTTAAAAGCACTGTCTTATATGGTAAGCGATTTTTGTGCGGCAATCAAGATCGTATGAAAGTGCCACTGTGGATGAGAATTTCTATATGGAGTTTTAAAGGACATAAAAGATATTACAGACAAAATAACTGTCCATTGATTTGGGATGTTATATACTCTTACGATATGTGACATCTATGAATAGTTTATATATGCTGTCGGTTGATACATGCTGTGATTAAAATGTCAGACAATGGAGAAACCACGAGGTAAACACTTAGATTAAAATTATAATCAGTCTTATTGGATTGATGAATAGTTTGACAAAGGGGAAGCAATGACTTCTGTTTAAAATTAGACTGATGAATTGTCCGATAAAGGATTAAGTCTGTCAATCATGGCAGATTAAGTAGTTAATCAATGGTAGGTGTATAGACGGTATAACACGATAGATACATTGATTTAGCTAATCAATCCAGCCTATTATCAACGATAATCGGGTTGAGTGGTAGTTATACAATCAGTACACTATATTAATTTTGGAATTTTGAATATCATTCGCCATATGTTGATGTCCAATTGGGCATTTTCCTGGTCGTACTATTTCGGACGTTTGGAATTAGTGTTGGACATGTCTGTCCAGAAATACCATCACTGGTATGTACCATTTTAACTCACCAGGACTCAATAATGTGGTTTCTGATTTTAAGGTAGCGGTCTGGTGTCTTAGATTGTCGACCATCAAAAAATTCTGAATGTATGGTTTGTTCTTCTTCACTTATTTCATCAAAGTTTAATTCAACATTGGCTGTTGGTATGGGTAATTCTACAAGTTCACCACTTGATGATATTACACCATTTACTAGAAATATATACAATGATAATATAGATTATAAGAGACTATATAAATTACCAGTTTGAGAGATCAATGTGGAAAATTCTAAACTAACACTACCATGACACTGAGTTCAGAAAGTCAACTAAAATTAGTCATTCCAAAAAGTAAGAACCAGCGGTTGCCAGGCAAGATACGCCCACATTGTGCAAGAGATGGATAGAGAACAAGCAAAAAAAAAGCGATTTTTCATACAATCAGGGGTCATAATCCACGAAGTTATGGTCTGAAATGTGTGAATATCGAAATGGACTGAGATAAAGATATAATTTAAGTTTCATCAAAATCGGATAAAAATTGTGACTTCTAGAGTCCACAACCTTTGCATTACATACTTTTACACTCTTTATGTACAAGGGGCGGCCATTTTGTCTGGCAGTTTTGGTCCGATTTTCACGAAATTCGAACTCAACCATCATTAGGGTACAATGGTGATGTATTCAAATGTTTTTTTTAAATCAGATAAAAATTGTGACCTCTAGGGGAGCACCAGCTAAAAACGCGATTTTTTGTACAATCAAGGGCCACAATTCAGGAAGTTATGATCCGATACATGCGGATATCGAAAGAACCAAGATCTTTGGGTTATAAAAATGTATTTCAAGTTTCAACAAAATCAGATCAAAATTGTGGCCTCTAAGAGGGTCCACAACCTTGATATACCATATATTTACACTATTTGCATACGAGCAGCGTCCATTTTGCCTGGCATTTTGGTCCGATTTGCATAAAATTCAAACTGAACCATCATTTGGGCGTAACAGTGATATATTCAGACGGTTTTTTTTTAAATTGGATAAAAATTGTGACCTAACCTAGAGGGACCACAAGCTAATAACGAGACTTTTTGTACAATCAAGGGCCATAATTCAGGAAGTTACGATCCGATATGCGCCAATGTCAAAAGGAACCAAGATCTTTGGGTTATAAACATGTATTTCAAGTTTCAACAAGATAGGTTGCCAGGCAACAAAACATACGCCCACAGCGGCTAAATCGTCCCAGCAGTCGACAAGGGTTGTCACATATTTATTCTTTTGTTGGTAATTAGGGGAATTTAATAGACAATTTCCGTCGTTTGAGGGTTCACAAGGTTCTAAAAACTAAAACAAGGGCCGTAACTCTGGAAGTAATCTACAGAAATTGTTCAAATTCGACAGGCTTTTTTGTTTTACTAATTCAAATAATGCATATAAATTTCATACAGATCGGATGATAACTTTTGTCGTTCGAACGTTCACATTCAATAGGCTTCTTCATTTCACTAATTTAAATGATGCATATGAATTTCATACAGATTAGGTGATAACTTTTGTTGTTCAAGCGTTCACAAGATTCAACAAAGTAAATCATGGGCCATAACTCTAGACGTAATTGATGGAAATTGCTGACATTCAATAGGCTTCTTCATTTCACTAATTTAAATGATGCATATGAATTTCATACAGATTAGGTGATAACTTTTGTCGTTCAAGCGTTCACAAGATTCAACAAAGTTAAAGAAGGGCCATAACTCTAGATGTAATTAACGGAAATTAGCTGAAACTCAATAGGCTTGTTCGTTTTACTAATTTAAATGATACATATAAATTTCATACAGGTCGGATTATAACTTTTGTCGTTAGAGCACTCACAAGGTGAAACAAAGTGAAATAAGGGCCATAACTCCAGAAGAAATTAACAGAAGTTATTGAAATTAAATAGGCTTCTTCATCTCACCAAAGCAAACAACATATATCAATTTCAAAACAATCAGATGATAAATGTAGTCTGTAGAGTGTTCACAAGAAATTGTGGACGATGGACGGACGGACGAACCGACGGACAGGGGCGACGGCAATATACGACCAATATACGACAGATCAAAACTGTTTTCTCTAGAGGGTCTACAAAATTGAGGTATCATATATTTACACTATTTGCGAACGAGAGGCGACCATTTTGTCTGGCAGTTTTGGTCAGATTTTCATGAAATTTGAACTCAACCATCATTACAGTGTAACGGTATATATATTCAGACGTTTTTTTTTTTCAATTGGACAACAATTGTTACCTCTAGAGGGACCACAAGCTAAAAAAGCGATTTTACGTACAATCAAGGGCCATAATTAAGGAAGTTATGATCTGATATGCGCGACTATTGAAAGGAACCAAGATCTTTGGGTTATAAACATGCATTTCAAGTTTCATCAAAACCGAATCAAAATTGTGGACTCTAGAGAGTCAACAACATTGATGTATCATATATTTACACTATTTGCGAATAAGGGGAGTCCATTTTGTCTGATCTCACGAAATTTCGAACTCAACCATCATTATGGTGTAACAGTGATATATCACTGAGAAGTAGTAATAGTGTTATTTGTACGTTAAGGGCATAGATATCTCCCGATTTGGTAAATTTGTATGAATATCAGTAAAATTCTAATTATCGCAACAAATCTAATACGAAGAGGCTAAAATCTGTAGATATGGTGTGTTAATTAACAGGGGTGAGAAATTGACTGAGTGGTGATATAATTATCGCTAGGGGTGAAAATCTCGGCGACGGTGCGTTTTCTGTACCGGTGTGTTAATTAACGAACGGGTTAAAAACGACTGACACGGTGTGTATTCTTTGTTTGGTGAGTTTTCTCGAAAGAGTGTTATAACTGTACCAAAGGTGTTTTATCAAGGACCAACAGGCTTTATCTGACGCGTAGGTGTTAAATCCAATTTACCGTGCGATTTCTTGTTCGACTGTGTGTTTTACGCAGATCGGTCTTTGTTAAGTGTAGGTCTTTATACATGGATGTATATGTGCTGTAGTTACATATGTTCGTTCTTATACGTATTTCATTTCTTGATGAATACTACGTGTTTTATACTTCGTACCATAGTCGGGCTGCAATTATTTATATATTTGTCTTTTTTGTGGGTTTAATTTGTTTATATATTATCGTGCGTACCACTGAAGTATAAATGCACCTTATTTACCGATATCCGGACCAGCCTCCATTGATATCAGACTAACGAATCTGTTTCGAAAAGCAAGTTTATAAATATAAAATCAAGCAATTATTGAAAAACTATTGGTTTCGTCATGTCTATATTTACTACACGTGGGCGTTTTAATGCATAAATTTATTGTTTCTTACCTGGGTTGTAAAAAGGACTATCCAAGAAAAATTTAATTTCCACATATAACAAATGATAATTCACATATCAAATAACACTAATGCAAATAGGGACATGCGCTGGCGGTGATATTGTCCATTGACCTTTGACTTAATATGAAAATAGCGGCTTTACAAGAACAGCTAAATTTAAACACATGTTAATATTTCTATTGTTTACGATTTTATGAAATAGCTTTATTATTTTTCTCCCGGTACTAATAGACAACGGGTTGAGTGGATCCAATTTTTATTATGTGATTTATCAACGTGATGACAGATCGAGATCACGGGCTCCATGTGTCTATTTCTAAAAGCATGCAATCACCTTTGGGAATCAGTTAGTTTCCAGTCTAAAACGACTTTAAAATCTCTTTTGTTATTTTGGTCGCTTTATTTGAAAAGATTTTCATAATATGCCGTATTAATTTGTGATTTTGTTTTTATTGTTAATTCTGTTTAATTGTGAACATTTTGAAATCTAAATATTTAATATTTATTCTTGGGTACGGGTTTAGAATAGTGTTATAGCATGATTTATTTGTTAAAGATCTGTTAATTCCGAAACAACAATTTATTGCTGTAGTGATCAATTTCAACATTTTCACGTGCATTCTAAAGTCATAGTTTTAAACTTAAATAGCTTCATTTACAATATTTCCAGCCATATATTATGCTAAATTGAGTCCCACGTCATAAAAGTCTTCAACTTTTAGAACCGTGCATAGCACACATTATGTCCAGAATTTGACGTTTTAACAGCTTAATTAATAAATTTGATAAAGAAAACTGTTTCAGAACAACAATAATTTCTTATACACCTTTGATATCTTTGATGTAATTAATTGTTCGTTGGACAAATTACGGTTTTGAAATAGGATACACAACACATCTATATTAATTTAAAGGGTCATATTTTGAATTTTAATAAACCAAGGTTCATTCAAGAAAATTATTGTTGTGTTCTGATAAATTAAGTGTACCTGGGCCCTGTTTCTCAAAATCTTAACTAAGATAAAATCGTGAAACAGACCCCAGGTTTATAATACACATTCACTAAAATTGTTGAGCTGCGGCGATGATTAATTTATTACCCCTAATAAAGTCTGGCAATTAACAGTTGTTATATAACATCTAGGTCAACGGTGATCTAAGTTGGTGTTCTGCCAAGCGTACTTCCTGCCCTGATGCCAGTTTGTGTTGTAATATGTGACTTGGAAATACGTTTAATAATTTAACAAATTCAAGAAGAAGAAGAACACAATTTTTTTGTTTTGAAATATACTGTAGAAAAATAACTTAGTCCTCTAACTTCAGTACAACATGATAATAATGTAATAGTTAGTATTTCATTGTATTTAAATCTTATAATCCCTCTTGTTGTTTTCAGGTACCGTGAAGGTATCGGAATCGAAATCCCAGATAGGATATAAATTTTGATATTATATGTAAGATATGCTTACAATTATACTCAGTTTTGATATTATTTGCAAGATATGCTTACAATAATTATACTCATACTCATTGATCAATTTAGAGAATTTTGGCACTGATAATATCATAATATGTAGCAAATGGTGGACCACCTTCTCACTCGATAATCGTCGCTTTTTGATTCATTCTTCCATTTCCCATCAATGGTGAAAGTACAATTGAAATAATAATATCCGACTAGTCATGTTTATATATTTTACATGCCGTACGAAGCCATGGTTAAACTATCAAAATAATTGATTCTCTTCGAAAAGAATTGATGGCCATTTTGAATATTTCCTTCTAGCTCACTCTTAAATTCCACTTGTTGACCATGTTTCTTTTGAATTGCCCTAATATTCCACAAAATGTCATTATTGGAGCAGAGCTAATACGTATAGAAGCGAATGCTTCGGCCCATATCAACTGCCAATTAAAGAAAAAATAAATAAAGCAGATAATTTATACGTTACAATTTAATTAAGACGTTTAATATATGAAGGCATATGCATATCAATAATGTAATAATAAATAATGGTATTGCTTGTATTTTTGTCCTGTCTATTTTACTTGTGTGTTTGAACATTACTCTGATTATAATATAATCGCTTGGGCTGTTTATTTTTCATTTGAGATACTAACCGAAATTTCCTATGAGAAACAAAATAAATTGTATACATGTTGATAAAATATCAAGCTTTATTCAAATGAGATGATAGAGAAGTAAAACATACATTTAAATCATTGCAATAAAACCAACACTGAACAGACCACAGTATGTCATCCTTGAATTAAGTGTAACCGGCAAAAATAGTCACACTCCATCCAACTATTTCAGCAAATCCATTAACAGTGTCGCCTTTCAGTCTGAGACCAAAGGGGGTCTGAGATCAAAGGGCAATATCAAAGCGTGCTCTCCGGATAATATAAATTCTCTACTGAGGATGAGATTGAATCCACACACACGGTCGAACAAGAAATCGCACCGTAAACTGTATTTAACAAGTACGCGTCAGATAAAGCCTGTTGGTCCTTGATAAAACACCTTTGGTGCAGTTATTACATGCTTTCGAGAAAACTCACCAAACAAAGAATACACACCATATCAGTCGTTTTTAACCCGTTCGTACACATCCAGTACAGAAAACGCACCGTCGCAGAAATTTTCACCCCTGGCGATAATTAAATCACCTTTCAGTCAATTTCTCACCCCTGTTAATTAACACTATGTATCTACAGAATTTAGCCTCTTCGTATTAGATTTGTTGCGATAATTAGAATTTTACCGATATTCATACAAATTTACCAAATCGGGAGATATCTATGGCCTAAATGTACAAATAACACTATTACTACTTCTCAGTGTATTCAGATGACTTTTTTAAATCAGATTTAAATCATCCAGGCAGTCAATTACAGTTGTCGTATATTTTTACTTTTTTCGGTAGCCTAAAAATAAAAATAAAATAAAACCAAGTACGAACAATCCAAACTATAAGACAGAATTCAAAGTCCTAAAAAATGTTATAGGCAAAATAGTGTATTCAAGCAAAATAGTGTAATCAGCAAATGGACTGCTCCTCGTGTACAAAATACACGACAAACAGTGGTAACAGGTGTCCGGAAGAGTAAGCTAACCCTGCCTGGCGCCACACCCGCCATAGCTGCATCCAAAAGAAACATTTATAATACACTAAAATCTGATTAAGAGTAACAACTCATTAAGTAATTATCAGCAAAACATTATAATTTGTTTGGTTTTTATAAAGTTCTGCCCTGTGCAAACGTTTAGAATACAAAACTTTAATATCATGGATTTAGCTGTTCAAGTCATAAAAATTCATTGAAAATCAATATACTTGTTCGTCTGAAGACCTTAAACTCTGTGTATCAATCTGAAGTCAATCGGATGATAACTTTAGCCTCCAGAGCATCACAAGATTTTTCAAAGTGATCAAGGGCCATAACTTTGGCAGTAATTATCAGAAATCGTTGAAAATCAATAGGATTCTCGTCTCATGACCTCAAACACTGTGTATAAATTTAAAGTGAATCGGATATTAACTTTAGCCTCTATAGCACCCACAAGATTTTTTGAAGTGATCAAGGGCCATAACTCTGGCAGTAATTATCGAAAATCGCTGAAAATAAATAGACTTCTTCGTCTCATGACCTTAAACACTGTGTATAAATTCAAAGTCAATCGGATATTAACTTTAGCCTCTAGAGCGTCCACAAGATTAGTCAAAGTGATCAAGGGCCATAACTCTGGCAGTAATTATCAGAAATCGCTGAAAATCAGTAGGCTTCTTCATCTCATGACCTTAAACACTGTGTTTAAACAAGGACCAACGGACGGGGGCGATGACAATATACGACCACATTTCAATATCGGCGTATAAAGATGATTTTTCGTCTAATCAAGGGTCATAATTTAAGAAGTTACGATCCGATATGTGCAAATATGGAAAGGAACCAAGACCTTTGGGTTATAAACAAGCATTTCAAGTTTCATCAAAATTAGATGAAAATTGAAACCTCTAGAGTGTCCACAAGCTAAAAACGTCACTTTTTGTACAATCAGGTGCCCTAATACATTTAGTTTCGATCCGATACATGCCAATATTGAAAGGAACTAAGATCTTTTGGAGATAAACCTATATTTAAAGTTTCATCAAAATCGGATAGGAATTGTGACCTGTAGAGTGTCCAAAAACAAATTGCTGACAGATGGATGTCCGGACGGACAGGGGCGACGACAATATACGTCCACATGAAAATGTGGGCGTATCAAAATGCAATAGGAATATTTCAATATAATGATTAAACATGACAAGGGGGGGGGGGGGGTCTTCGGGGCTCTTTCTCATGTGATGCAAAATCAATAGAAATCTCTCTCTAACCCCCCCGCTACACAGTCGATAGAAATCTCTCTCTAATAACCTGTGTACAGTTGATAGAAATCTCCCTCTAATAACCATTGTACAATTGATAAAAATCTCTTTCTAATAACCGAGGTACAACTGATAGAAATCTCTCTCTAATAACTGAGGTACAATTGATAGAAATCCCTCTAATAACCAATGTACAACTGGTAGTAATCTCTAATAAACCCTGTACAATTGATAGAAATCTCTTCCCTCCCCAACTCTGCATGATCATTTCACAATTTTATTAACCCATGTGTCATCCAGAGAAATTTCTCACTGCTTATAACCCCTGTGCGTAATCTCTCTCTTTAATGAAGCCAAACAGGGTTACAAAAATATACTATAACAACTGTTATCTCTACTGACCTAATGTTTTTTGTATTTTTATTTTAGATTCACTGACTTCCTCCCTTGCACTACTAAAATGTCTTTGATTTTCACTGCTACAATTACTAACTTCTTCAAATTTAATATTGCTATCTTTCAAATCAGTTTTATGAATACAAAGATCATTTTCATCCTCTTCCTCATCAATTTTCTCATCTTTATCGATATCATCATTTGTTTCATCATCTGTTATTTCAGATAAATCAACCTTTGCCGATTGTAATAACTTTTCATATACTGATGTTGGAGATGTGGATCTGTTTAATAATATATTGTTATCTTCATCATCATTTTCTATATCAATATCAACATCTTCATCATCATTATCACCATCTTTTTCAATATTTCCCAATTTTTGTACAGGCGATGTGCGTTCTGTTTGTTTATCAAAGCTATCTAAATTATTAGTGTTTAAATGAGTTGAGAAATCATCCAGTAAATCAGGATTTATATGACTTGGTATTAACTGATTTGATCTAGTTGTACTGTTGCTTATGGTATTACCTATTAGCATACTACTGAGTAAATTATTGGGTATCTCTGTTTTAAACATAATATTAGCATTCATAGAATCAATTATAGAATTTTCAGCACAAGGATTTGCTTGGTTTAGAAGGTCATTGTTAGGGGATATAAGATTGTCTAATATATCTATAGTCGTATTTTCACTGGATGATGTTGTTTTCACAGTGCTCTTTGTAAAATCTGAAACTGTTTTTGATGCACTGATAACTGCCCGAAACTTTGTTGAGAACTTTAAACCATTTGATATACCCCTATGTAATCTATTTGGAGATTTGACACATTGAACTGTTGGCAGACCAGTCTCCATTGATGCCAAAACTTCACTGATAGCAACCGTTGGAGATTCATTTTTAGCTTGTGACTGATCAGAAAATATTTCCTTATGCTTAGTCTGAAAATCAAATGTACATTTAATTAAGTATATATATTTAATTTAAAAAAAAAACAACAAGCAATTGTAGGCATTTTGAAATGCTAAGATACATATTGCTACACTTACTTCTTGGCAGCATAATATCAACAAGTGGGGTATTCCCACTTGGCTAGCAGATTAACAGTACTAATTAAGGGATTAGGAGATTAGTGAGAGCTTATAGAGTTATAGTCTGTTTTAACTATTGTATTAAACATACATCATGCAAGAGATAAACCTGGATTATTGCAGGTTTTTCTTTAGGCCTGAAATGTTTTCTAAATTATTAATTAGACATTAATTAACTTATCCAGGCCATAATTAACTCTCGATGGCATCGGATTTCTCCGATATTAAATAGATTAGAACAGTTCAGCCATATTTTGATTTAAGCTAAAAAATGGAGGAGCAAGACTTAGCTTCGAACAACCAGTACGGTGGTTGAAATTATTGCACACGTCTTGTCAAACCTTCAAAGGCTAATATCTTCGCTAGAAATAGAGTAATTCAAATGAAATTTTCAAATTATTCATTTTACATTATCTATTTTTTAACTATTATAGCAAGAATGGCTAGCTCTTTATCTAAATCTAACATAATGTATCTTTAACAGTTTTAACCCATGATCTAGTAATTCTAGTTCACTAGCTGATGTTTCATTGTTTATGATACATAGTTAAATAGCTGCAAGTTCAAATTTTATTTCATTCCAAAATGGCTAATGCACAAGTTAACATTCAATTCATTCCAAATTCCATATAATCACAGATACCATTCATTGGAAGTGTACTGTCCATGAAAGCCCTGCCACTGTAAATACTAGGAATGGTCTTTTCACCACCTACAGAAACATTCATAGTCATCCAGCTGATCCCACCAAGTTGAAATCAGATATGTTCTTATCAACTATGAAAGAAGGGGTTAAAGTGGATTCTAAACCAGTTATAATTATATGGAAGGATAGATTTCAAAATTTTAACAGTTGTGTATCAGTGCCTTCATGGATATTATCCTTCATATATAAAGGAACTTGTTAATGCCCACCAGTCAATACGAGCTCTGTGATCCCAATCTCAACATTATGTTACAGTACCAAAGTGGAAACTGAAAAAATTTGGTTTTAAGTCATTTGAAGTTTCAGCAACTTTGAAGTGGAATGCCCTCCCGTTAGCTTTAAAATCTGCTCCAACATTTTCAATATTTAAATCTAAATTAAAGACATTCCTGTTTTCTAAATAAGTAACTTAGAATTGGCTCTGTGTGCGCTTTGAGCAGATTTTATTGCTTGGAGTTTAGCGCTATAGAATCCTATTATTATTATATTATAAGAAGTATAAGAAATAATAGATATTTTAATTTATATATCATAATAGATTTTTAAAATCATTTTTAACTCATACCATGGTATCGTTATTGTAGAATCAATAATTTAATTATTTATTGGATGTGATATGTAAATTTGAATAAATTCTATAATATTGTTCATCTCATTGTAGAGTTACGGGTTTCAGAAGTAGATGACTACATCAAGGCCGTTCCAACCTTTTACAATACACATTCAAGGCTATATCCAGGGTTCATACACTAAAATATGAAAGGAATTCCATGACTTTTCCATGACTTTCCAGGACCAAAATTAGAGCATTGCATGCACTAAAGTTTTTCATGAGAAGTCTACCAATGCTCTATGTAGTATTTTTACTGAATTAAATCTCCATGTATAATTAGGTTTATCTACATCTCTATGCAATGAAATCAACTTCTTGCAAATTATGAAGGTAAAACAAGCCATCAGTGAGGCTGATGTCCCCTGCTGAAAACCCAAAATAAACAGATAACACATATCAATTAATTGCACATTTACCTTTTTCAAAAGTATTGAGTAATCAAACTGATTATCTATTCTTAGTCTAAGCATAAAATGTTCATGATCAAACTCAGTCAGGTTTTGAAGTGAAACTATACACTAAGTATCATCACTCTCCATCAGTTAGAATGAAAGTTATCCTGTCCCAAAGCATCGACCAATGAAATTGCTTAGCTCTACTTAGCTTAGTCAAGACATTTGCCTAATGAATCTATACCTCAATGAAAAGCACAGTTGTTATGTTCCCCAAAGTCTTGACCAATCAAATTGCTTATCTTTGCATTAGTGGAAAATGTGCATGATGAACTCTGTTAAGGCATTCACCTTATAGACACCTACACCAATTTTGAACATTCTACCTCAATTAGAAGGAGAGTAAATGTGTTCCAAAGTCTCGACCAATCAGATTGAAGTCTCTACTATGCTAGAGCAGAAAATGCTCAGGATCAAAGTTTGTTATGGTATTAATGTAATGAAACTATACACAGAGTTTCATCACTCTCACTTAATTAAAACTTAAGTTATCGTGTCCTAAAGCATCTACCAATCAAATTGCTTATCTCTGCTTACCCTTAGCAGAAAACGCTCATCTTCAAACTCCCATCATGGCATTCACCTAATAAACACCTACACCAAGTTTGAACATTCTAGCTCAATTAGAAAGAAAGTTATTGTGTCCCAAAAAGTGTGATAATGGAACGCAATTCACATTGTTTTTATTATGACAAAGGGAGATGATGACCCGCCCTCTCTTCTCACAACAGCGATTTTATAAGTGGGTTTTAACGTGACTTTTTGATTTACAAGGACTTTTTTTATTTTTGTGTTTTTACCAATTTTCAACCCTTTAAGTGTAAATAATTTAAGTAAATCAACCTGTTCATAATATCATATTTATTGTATTGGACGTTAAATCTGTAATAAACAACAACAAACATAATAAACACCTACATAACATGATCAAACCTAGTCAATGTATAGTGTACCAAAGAACAGACCATTCAAATTGCTTATCTCTGCTTAGACCGAGCAGAAAATACTTATCATCGAACTTAGTCAAGGCATTCACCAGAGCTCACACTGACTTTCAATTTTTTTTTTCTGCCAAAATGGATGATAATTTTTATATAAAAAATGTTCATTTTTTTTTTTTTTTCCCGCCAACTGGAATATTTTATCTGACAAAAATGTGTGATAAGAAAGACAATATGTATGGTCAGTCTCAAGTAGGCCTATTAAAAAACAATTACCAATCTATACAATACAATATACAACAACTTAACCCTTAACCGGTCGAAGTCATTTTGACATTATGACGTCAAGTAGTCAGGCTAAATAAAGGCTGATGTGAAATATTTTGTATGTCTATTTCAATCGACTATTGCCGAATAATCATAAGTGATAGACTCTTGACACCAATAAACCAGCGGCTGCCAGGAAGGATACGCCCACATTTTCGAGAGATGGATAGAGAACAAGCTAAAAAGAAAGCGATTTTTCGTACAATCAGGGGCCATAATTCAGGAAGTTTCAACAAAATCGGATAAAAATTGTGACCTCTATAGGGTCCACAACCTTGATATACCATATTTTTACGCTAATTGAGAACGAACGACGGCCATTTTGTCTGTCCATTTTGGGGCGATTTTCACAAAATTCAAACTTAATTGTCCTTAGGGTGGAACGGTAATATAATAATACGTTTTTTTAAATCTGATAAAAATTATGACCTCTAATGGGTCCACAAGCTAAAAACATGATTTTTCGTACAATCAGGGGCCATAATTCAGGAAGTTACGGTCCGATATGGGCGAATATCGAAAGGAACCGAGATCTTTGGGTTATAAACTTACATTTCAAGTTTCAACAAAATCGGATAAAAATTGTGACCTCTATAGGGTCCACAACCTTGATATACCATATTTTAACGCTATTTGAGAATGAACGGCGGCCATTTTGTCTGTCAATTTTGGGCCGATTTTCACGAAATTCGAACTCGGCCATCCTTAGGGTGTAACGGTGATATAATAAAACGGTTTTTTAAATCGGATAAAAATTATGACCTCTATAGGGTCCACAAGCTAAAAATGTGATTTTTTGTACAATCAGGGGCCATAATTCAGGAAGTTACGGTCCGATATGCGCGAATATCGAAAGGAACCGAGATCTTTGGGTTATCAACTTACATTTCAAGTTTCAACAAAATCGGATAAAAATTGTGACCTCTATAGTGTCCACAAGCTAAAAACGTGATTTTTCGTACAAACAGGGGCCATAATCCATGAAGTTTCGATCCGATACATTTCAATATCGAAAGCAGCCGAGATATTTTGGAGATAAACCTATATTTCAAGTTTCGTCAAAATCGGATAAGAATTGTGACCTGTAGAGTGTCCACAAACAATTGTGGACGGACGGACAGACGGACGGACGAACGGACAGGGGCGACGGCATAATACGTCCACATGAAAATGTGGGCATATAAAAAGTTGCTGGGGATAAGTTGATCTATAATTTGCAAATCATTCTAAATCCTTTTCATCAGAAATATCGTCTTCAGAATCGAATTCATCGATATAATCGATTCGGAATAATTCATAAGTATTTCAACCACTTTGAGCGATTTTAACGTTCCGACACCGTTAAATTACGTTTTTCGTCATAAAATGTTGAACAAAGACATGTTTTTCTCAATGCCCTTGACAAAACAAGTTTCTGTCTGACACGCATGCCTGGCCATATCAATTAAAAACGAAACTAAATACTCAAATGCGGCTTATAAAAAAGGTTCTTGCTGTGGTCGACTTTAGTCGACCGTGACCACTTAGCTGTATAACGTTGTGGTGACTATAGTCGACAATGACCGGTTAAGGGTTAAAACATACACCCACAGCAGCTAAATCGTCCGAGCAGTTGACAAGGGTTGTCACATTTTTATTCTTTTGTAGGTAATTAGGGGAAGTTAATAGACAATTTCATACAGATGACATTATAATTTTCGACGTTTGGGGGTTCACAAGGTTCTAAAAACTAAAACAAGGGCCATAACTCTGGCAGTAATCTACAGAAATTGTTCAAATGCGACAGGCTTTTTCGTTTTACTAATTCAAATAATGCATATAAATTTCATACAGATCGAATGATAACTTTTGTCGTTCGAAAGTTCACAATGTTCAACAAAGTAAATCAAGGGCCATAACTCGAGACGTAATTGACGGAAATTGATGACATTCAATAGGCTTCTTCATTTCATTAATTTAAATGATGCATATGAATTTCATACAGATTAGGTGATAACTTTTGTTGTTCAAGCGTTCACAAGATTCAACAAAGTTAAACAAGGGCCATAGCTCTAGATGTAATTAACAGAAATTTGCTGAAACTCAATAGGCTTATTCGTTTTACTAATTTAAATGATACATATCAATTTCATACAGATCGGATAATAACTTTTGTCGTTGGAGCGTTCACAAGGATCAATAAAGTGAAACAGGGGCCATAACTCTAGACATAATAAACGGAAATTGCTGAAATTCAATAGGCTTCTTCGTTTCAGTAACCTAAATAATGCATATAAATTTCAGAAAGATCGGATGATAACTTTTGACCTTACAAGGTACAACAAAGTGAAACAAGGGCCATAACTCACAGCTTAATTAACGGAAATTGCTGATATTCAATAGGCTTCTTCGTTTCACTAATTTGAATGATGCATATCAATTTCAAACAAATCGAATGATAACTGTTGTCATTAGAGCGTTCACAAGATTCAACAAAGTGAAACAAGGGCCATAACTCTAGATGTAATTAACGGAAATTGCTGAAATTCAATAGGCTTCTTTGTTTTACTAATTCAAATGATGCATATAAATTTCATACAGATCGGTTGATAACTTTTGTCGTTAGAGCGTTCACAAGGTGCAACAAAGTGAAACAAGGGCCATAACTCCAGAAGAAATTAACGGAAATTGCTGAAATTCCATAGGCTTCTTCATTTCACTAATTTAAATGATGCATATCAATTTCATACAGATCGGTTGATAACGTTTGTCATTTGAGCATTCACAAGATTCAACAAAGTGAAACAAGGGCCATCACTCTAGATGTAATTAACGGAAATTGCTATAGGGTCCACAACCTTGATATAACATATTTTTATGCTATTTGAGAACGAACGGCGGCCATTTTGTCTGTCAATTTTGGGCCGATTTTCACGAAATTCGAACTCAGTCGTCCTCAGGGTGTAACGGTGATATAATAATACGTTTTTTTAAATCGGATAAAAATTATGACCTCTATAGGGTCCACAAGATAAAAACGCGATTTTTCGTACAATCAGGGGCCATAATTCAGGAAGTTACGGTCCGATATGCGCGAATATCGAAAGGAACCAAGATCTTTGGGTTATAAACTTATATTTTAAGTTTCAACAAAATCGGATAAAAATTGTGACCTCTATAGGGTCCACAAGCTAAAAACGTGATTTTTCATACAAACAGGGGCCATAATCCATGAAGTTTCGATCCGATACATGCCAATATTGAAAGCAGCCGAGATCTTTTGGAGATAAACCTATATTTCAAGTTTCGTCAAAATCGGATAAGAATTGTGACCTGTAGAGGGTCCACAAACAATTGTGGATGGACGGACGGACGGACAGGGGCAACGGCATAATACGTCCACATGAAAATGTGGGCGTATAAAAATTGAAAATCACTCTCTCATTTCAATAATATTCCCCAGTAATTACCTGCCTTTATTTATAGGATAGAAAATAAAATACATGTACTTCATAATGTCTTACCATCGTTTATCTTCTTTATAAGATAGTACTTTAAATCACTCGCCAAATGACACAGCAATCGACTTCGTGTATTATCAGGTCTAGTTTGTTATTTACACCTGTGTCAAGTCTGAAGTTTTCACGCCAAAATTAACCATTTTACTATTTTTGTAGTATGAAATGCCGTATTATAGTAATAAATAGAGTTCAACGTGTAGTATCACAGAATAATACCACTAGCGCGAAAATTTCAAAATGGAGCCTGAACAAAAGTTGTGAATGATGGATTAGCAGAAAATAAGTTAATTGGTGTTTATTAATAGCTAATAATAGGGAGCACGCTCGGATGGGTATATTTTTGGTGTGTAAGGCACATGTTGCCCAGTGAATGTTTCTTTGGGTTGGAATCTGGTGACAGATTCTTATGAAGGAAAATGATAGCAGGTTAAAATATTGTGTGATCGTGATTGACATCGGTACAGAGCTAATTAATAGGAAATAAATAAGAAGTAAACTTGAATAACACCGGCCTAGGCAATTTCTGATAATTTTCATGGCAATAAAATGTGCAGATGGGGAGAGTGATTATGGAGGACTGAGGAGAGCAATAAAATATGCACCTAGATTGGGATTTAGGTGAGCGATGGAGCGCTATAGCGTGCCTCAAACATGAATGCCTTGGTCTGGTTGTTGACTATATCTTGTGGTTTTATAAAACTATGCCTTGGTTAATACAAAAATTTAAATTTACTCACAAGGCCATTTAGGAACATTGACTTTTCTTCTAATGTCCATGCCCTTTTATTTCTATGTGACTTGACTTTAGTTGATGTAGGTTGAGATTTCTGTGGACTCGCAGTTTCTGGGATTTTAATTACTTTATTCACTTTCTCAACTATGTTTGACTGTTTACTCCATGTTTTTCCATTCAAATATTGTCTGATAAAATGTTAAAGATTTTATGGTATCAAATCAACATAAACCATGATTTACTATTTTTGCAATCAAAAGAACTCATTATTAAAAATATGTTGTTGCATTGTTAATTTACAATTATAGATGTATATATAAGTATAAATACTAATATTGTATTAAAGCTGATGGATTAATCTAATAATCAATGCTCTAAAATGTACCCAAATTAAGTATTTTGACAATATTTTGGTTGTTTTGACTTTGGTGAATTTTGGTCGTTTCGGTTTACGTCCCTTTTGACTATATCCAGAATTTATCTTCTGCAGAATACATGCAATGCTGAAATTTGTGAAATTTGTGAAATTTTTAATTCAGCATATCTTTGTAAATACTGAACAAAATGAAACCATTTTCACAATATTGTAGTAGGCAAGGGATTAACAAGTTCTCAATTGATGTTCAGAGACATTAAGATAAGTAAATACTAAAAGTTTTTTTTTTATCTCCTGTACAAGAGAGAGAGAAATGAGGTTTAACGTCCAAACGACAGAAACTAGGTCATTTTGGGACTAACATAATGGTTCAATCTTATTTCAATAATTCGCTTGCGCATAGGGGTTTTTAGCAGTGGGAGGAAACCGGAGGACCTGGAGAAAACCCAAGAGATTGGACAGACGACCCCACACCTTGTATCTTCTGTACAATTGGTTTACGTGTGTATATGGCAAAACACAATAATCTATAATTATAATGATATTGATATATGGCAAATTGTTCTTTATTGTTATATTAGGCTTTGTACAAGGATACTGTTCTTCCAATAACATCTTTTCAATAGTTGCCTTGGACTTTTCATCCATATCCAAAGTCCATCCCTGCAAATACAAATTATAAGAATTATCTTGATTTTAATTTTGATGTATTTTCTCACACTTTGTTTATTTATGAAATTACATTTACACCAAGCCATTTAATGATTTAAAAATCAACGAGAGCAATCTTCCCATCTTGGCTTTCGGACCATTCATATAATTAAAAGCCATTTAATTGTTAAATCAACGAGAGCGGTCTTCCCATCTTGGCTTTCGGGTCATTCATATAATTAAATGTTGGGTCATTCCATGTCAAGTGGACCAAATTTTGCAAAGTTGGAAACATGACACCCCCAGAAGAATTATAAAAAAATATATGTTATAGTATATGGCCTTAAGCTAACAAATCCAAATTATACCTCTCTTGGTTGAAAACGGGTACTGAAACGGATCATAAATTCAGTAATTTTTTTCAGATTCTCCGGTGCTTTAAACTCACATTTATAATAGGAGTAGACCTCTCTAACTTTGTAATCTAAGACAACTTTTTTTGTAGATATGTGCGATTCAAACAGTTCGTGCCACCAGGTGGCAAATTGTGGAACAAATGAACTATTCACATTTTTTTTTTTTTCAGGATTTCCACAGCCTCTGGCAAAGTCACTATTGTATACACAACCTTCAAAATTGACATAGTTAATGTCAGTTTGTCTTTTATTAATTTACAAAAGATTCTGAGTCGATGGGATATATACTTTTCCAAATATTCAGTCTTGAAATTCAATGCACACTGAAATCTTACAAAATATACCCATTTTCTCCTTCATTTTTGGCCATGTGGGACGGAGGTTAAAATTCTGAAAAATGTTGATAATGAAACTTCATTTACCCTACTATAACATACATTAAAGTCCATCTTGTGTATTTGAGGGCTTATATTTTTAATTGGCACTTGAAATCTGTGCGGTGATGAAGTTTTAATGGCTATCATCAAAATTGTTGACTTTTCACGTTGATTTTAAAATAACTTGTAAATGACCTACACCCCTCAAACATGTCTATTTGGAGTAAATGTTTGCGTAGATAACGAATATGCAATTATTTTGGATCTATATTGTATTGTTCTAATTTTATTTTGCCTCCCAAATGAGAAAAACATGGTTATTCTGCTTCACAAATTCAAATATTGGGCTTGCTTTGACAATCAGATTACAAGAGCTTCGCTAACTCTACTTTCATTGATCATGATATGGTACTTTTTAAAATGAAGAGATGAAATATGAAATGGCTGTAATATGACAAGAGGCAAAGAAGGCTAGGCGTTGGGTTTGTTTTGCCAAATTTACAGACAAAATATTAACAAAAAAGTGGATGTGATACTGCCCCGGGGATCAGGGCATGGATCAAAATAAATAGCTGCTGTCTTTACGGTATAAGGAATAAATATGCAAAGTTCCAAGATGATCCATTCAGAATTGCAGCCTGTAGAAGATAAATACAAAAATTGGATGTGGCTCTGCCCCTTGAGGTTGGAGATGGAACATTATAAATAGGTATCACCCTGTTATTGCAATGATTGATATGCTGAATTTGAATGAAATTTGTTAATCATTGCAACCTGTAGAGTATTTACCGATAAAAACTAACAAACCAGTGGCTGCCAGTTTTGAGCCGATTTTCACGAATTCGAACTCAGTCGTCCTTAGGGTGTAACTGTGATATAATGATACGTTTTTTACAATCGGATAAAAATTATGACCTCTATAGGGTCCACAAGCTAAAAACGCAATTTTTCGTACAATCAGGGGCCGTAATTCAGGAAATTACGGTCCGATATGCGCAAATATCGAAAGGAACCGAGATCTTTGGGTTATAAACTTACATTTCAAGTTTCAACAAAATCGGATAAAAATTGTGACTTCTATAGGGTCCACAACCTTGATATACCATATTTTTACGCTAATTGAGAACGAACGGCGGCCATTTTGTCTGTCAATTTTGGGCTGTTTTTTACGAAATTCGAATTCAGCTGTCCTTAGGGTGTAACGGTGATATAATAATACGTTTTTTTAAATCGGATAAAAATTATGACCTCTATACGGTCCACAAGCTAAAAACGCGATTTTTCGTACAATCAGGGGCCGTAATTCAGGATATGCGCGAATATCGAAAGGAACCGAGATCTTTAGGTTATAAACTTACATTTCAAGTTTCAACAAAATCGGATAAAAATTGTGACCTGTATAGGGTCCACAACCTTGATATACCATGTTTTTACACTATTTGAGAACGAAGAGAGGCCATTTTGTCCGTCAGTTTTGGGCCGATTTTAACGAAATTCGAACTCAGTCGCCCTTAGGGTATAACGGTGATTTACTAAAATGTTTTTTTTAAATCGGATAAAAATTATGATCTCTATAGGGTCCACAAGCTAAAAAGGCAATTTTTCGTACAATCAAGGGCCATAATTCAGGACGTTACAGTCCGATATGCACGAATAACGAAAGGATCCTAGATCTTTGGGTTATAAACTTAGATTTCAAGTTTCAACAAAATCGGAGAAAAATTGAGACCTCTATAGGGTCCACAACCTTGATATACCATATTTTTACGCTATTTGAGAACGTAGGGCGGCCATTTTGTCTGTCAGTTTTGGGTCGATTTTCACGAAATTTGAACTCAGCCGTCCTTAGGGTGTAACAGTGATACAATAATATGGTTTTTTGAATCGGATAAAAATTATGACCTCTATAGGGTTCACAAGCTGAAAACGTGATTTTTCGTACAATCAGGGGCCATAATTCAGGAAGTTACAGTCTAATATGCGGGAATATTGAAAGCAATCGAGATCTTTGGGTTATAAACTTACATTTCAAGTTTCATCAAAATAGGATTCAAATTGTGACCTCTATACGGTCGTCAACCTATATATACCATATTTTTACGCTATTTGAGAACGAACGGCGGCGATTTTGTCTGTCAGTTTTGGGCCGATTTTCACGAAATTCGAACTCAGCCATCCTTAGGGTGTAACGGTGATATAATGAGACAATTTTTTAAATCGGATAAAAATTATGACCTCTATAGGGTCCACAAGCTAAAAACGCAATTTTTCGTACAATCAGGGGACATAATTCAGGAAGTTACGATCCGATATGCACGAATATCGAAAGGAATCAAGTCTTTGGGTTATAAACATGCATTTCAAGTTTCATCAAAATTGGATCAAAATTGTGACCTCTAGAGTGTTCACAAGCTAAAAACGCGATTTTTCATACAATCAGGGGGCATAATCCATGAAGTTATGGTCCGATACATGCCAATATCGAAAGGAACCAAGATCTTAGGATGATAAAGCTATATTTCAAGTTTCATTGAAATTGGATAAAAATTGTGACCTGCAAAGTGTACACAAACAAATTGTGGATGGACGAAAGGACGGACAGAGGCGACGACAATGTACATCTACGTGAAAATGTGGGGGTATAAAAAGAGGGTGTGGTACCACACCCCTGGGGGTCAGGACATGCACCAAAATGTATAGTTGCTATCTTTACAGAATAAGGAATAAATATGCCAAGTTCCAAGATGATCCATTAAGAATTCCAGTCTGTAGACAAAAAACACAAAAATTGGGCGTGGCTCTGCCACTGCCCCTGGGGGTTGGATACGGACCAATATATATAGGTACAACCGTATGCCGGATCATTCCAAACTGGATCCAAATCCAGTGGCTCCGACATTGGGGGGGGTCAGGCATGCACCAAATACAATACGGATCATCCTTAGGGTATAAGGAACTTTTTCAAGACGATCGATTAAGAATTGTGGCCTGTAGGCGGCCCACAGACACACCAAAAAATGGGTGTGGCACTGCCCCTGGGGGTTGGGCATGCACCCCAAACAAATACAAGAAAAGGGAATGGATCTGCCCCTGGGGGTCGGGCATGCATCAAGAACAATAGGGACCATCCTTAGGGTATAAGGAATAAGTATGTAAAGTTTCAAGATGATCACTTAAGAATTATGGCCTGTAGGCGACCCACAGACACACAAAAAAAATGATTGTGGCACTGCCTCTGGGGGTTGGGCATGCACCCCAAACAAATACAAGAAATGGGAATGGCTCTGCCCCTGGGGGTCGGGCATGCATCAAGAACAATAGGGACCATCCTTAGGGTATAAGGAATAAGTATGTAACGTTTCAAGATGATCACTCAAGAATTGTGCCCTGTAGGCGACACACAGACACCCCCCCAACACAAACACACACACAAACACGCATGGGCGACGGCAATATACTTCTGAAAGACTTAGGCCCATCATATTTGTCATTTTAGAGCAATTTATAATGTAGAATAAGAATATGTTGTCCGCTCAAGAATTGAAGCACAGTAATGTTGTGACACTATCACTGAACACCTGAAAACTACAGGGCGTAATTCTTAATGCATCGTCTAGAAACTTTGCATACCTATTCCTTATAACCTAAGGATGTTCCCTATTGGTTTTGGTGCTTGCCGGACCCCCAGGGGCAGAAAGCCATGCTCAAAAATTATTTTGTAGCCCACAAGCCAAGAACAATAGGGATCATCCTTAGGGTGTAAGGAATAAGTATGTAAAGTTTCAAGATGATCACTTAAGAATAGTAGCCTGTAGGCCACACACACACAAGGGCGACGGAAGTATAAAAATTACTTCTGAAAGACTTAGGCCCCTCATATTTGTCATTTTAGAGCAATTTATAATGTAGAATGAGAATATGGACTCATTTTGGCTACAGGGGGTATCATTTCAATTAATTTTGTTTTCAAAAACAGCGGAAAACTTGTTTTGTCTGAGAAATTGAAGTACAGTAATGTTGTTACACTATCACTGGTACCTGAAAACTACAGGCCGCAATTCTTAATGCATCGTCTTGAAACTTTGCATACTTATTCCTTATACCTTAAAGATGTTTCCTATTGTTTTTGGTGCTTGCCCAACCTTTTTTTCTTTGCATGTCTGTGAGTTTTGCCTACAGGTCGCAATTCTTAATAGATCGTCTTGAAAACTTTTCATAT